CCGCCCAGGCGGGAGAGAAGGGAGGAGGACACCTTGCTGCCCTTTCCTGGGGGAGTCTGCGGCTGTCCTGCTGAGAGGGCGCCTTTCCATGGGGACCCTGTGCCGTAAGTTTGGTGTTTTGGAACTGAATAATTAGAACGTGTAAATTTTTTAATTTATGTGGTGCTTTAATTAAAAAAAAAAAAAAGCTCCAAGTTTTTTGCAAATTGAGGCCTCAAACTTGAAGGCCTATTTTCCTTCCACTGTGGCATTCTATGAAGAAATGTGCGTTTTTTAAAGAAAAGGGTCAGAAAAGTGAGGGAAACAGAAAACCCAGAGGTGCCCCTGTACTTTGGTGACGGCCTTAGGAGGTCACTTGTAAATGCCGCTGGCCGTCGGGAGCAGGCTCTTCCTGTGGCTGGTGGGCACAGAGCTCTGCAGGCTTGTCCTCTGCATGGATGTTCTTGCTTGTGGAAATCCAGCTCAGAGCCATCTGCTGATGTATAAGAATTTCCCAGACTAGACCCCTAGGCAAATCCCACAGGGCCAGGGGCTCCTTCCTTCATTGTATTTGTCTGTTTGACTGAAAACCAGCAATGACATATTTTTCTTTCAATCTGGTCCAGCATCCAGGCCTTGGAGTAATAGTTCCCCTCCCCCTCAATAGGCTTGGGTTCCAGGGATGAATTATAGTCAGTTGTCCATGATTTCGCAGATGAGGAAACTGAGAGCCGGAGAGGGTGGAGGACTGTCCAAGGGAGAATGGGATATCCTTCCAGGAACCCTGGCTCCTGGGTTTTTAATGAGCTTCCTACCCAACATGGTCATTAAGTGGCAAGTGTTGACATTGAGAATAAACTATCGGTGGAAATGTAAAAGGCTTTTTGAAAGAATGTGCCTACCAGCTGTGAATCTTATGGAGTATTTTCGTTGTACTTCCCAGCCCTTGGAAAGTGCTGGGCACAGGGCAGATGCTTCATCATTTTTATTGAATAAGTTCAATTTCACATAATTATATTTGTAATGTCAGTAACACTATGAGGTATATTAGAACAGTGATTGTCACAGTTGGTACTTCACAGATCAGTAAAGAAAGAAAACTTTTAATTAGGAAGACTGTAAGAGAATTGCTAAGTTTTAAGTTTATCCCACAAGGATATTTTAAAAAAATGAAACAAATCTCTCCGATCATCACCAAGGCTATCGGAGGTCTGTTGAGGACCCCACACAAGGGAGGGCCTATCTCTTGGGACACCCCTGCTTCAGCATCTCCCTAAACCAGCAATCTAGGACAGCTGAGTACACTTGAAGTTCTTCCTTGACCTCGGGAGTTTTTTTGGAAGACAATTTTTTGACAGACAGGGGTGGGGGAAGGTTTTGGGATGTTTCAAGTGCAGTCCATTTATTGTGCACTCTATTTCTCTTTCTGTTCCCTGATGGCTCAGTTGGTAAAGAGTCTGCCTGCAATGCGGGAGACCCGGGTTCAATCCCTGGGTCAGGAAGATCTCCTGGAGAAGGAAATGACAGCCCACTCCAGTATTCTTGCCTGAAGAAGTCAATGGACTGAGGAGCCTGGTGGGCTACAAAGGGCTGGACACGGCTGAGTGATCAAACTCTTATTTCTATTATTATTTCACCAGCTCTACCTCAGATCATCAGGCATTAGATCCTAGAGGTTGGGGGCCCCTGCTTTAGTTCCCTCTTTCATCTTCTACAGAGCTCCAGCCTGCTTCCTCCTCCTCTTCCACCTGCAGAATGACCTGCCGGGCTTTTCTGAGTGTGACTGAGCCTCCTTCCCTCACTGCCTTTCCTCTGAATCCCTCCTCCTAACTGGGTTTCCCTGATCTCCTTTAGGCACTTTCGCCCCAGGTGGTGCTAGTGGTAAAGAACCTACCTGCCAATGCAGGAATCCTATCCCTGGGCCGGGAAGATCCCCTGGAGGACGGCACAGCAACCCACTCCAGTATTCTTGCCTGGAAAATTCCTATGGACAGAGAAGCGTGGCGGGCTCTGACAGTCAGACGTGACTGAAGCGACTTAGCACAGCATACCAGAGGACCTTTGAACTGCAGACTCATGTGATTGTTTTGACTCTTTGGAGTCCCTTGTCATTCCATGTGTATGTTAGGGTCAGCTTGTGTGTTGCTTCCTAAAGGCCTCCAGAGGGTAACAGGCAGGAAGGCCAGGGGTCTCCAGACAGAGGGAACAGGCTGCAAGTGTCAGACGTTTTCTCATCTCTCAAGCAGCGGGAGGAAACAAACTAGTGTTACATTTTTTCCCGTTCTCGATACAAATTTAAGAGGTTTCTCTTACAATTCTGTGTTGCTATGAGGACTCCTGGCTCCACCTGAACTTAACTTTTCTCAAACCTTCAGCTAAGCAATGCATTTTGTCTTAAGGAAAGGTTTGTCTTAAGCTGTGTTAATATGCTGTGTATTTCTGCTAGACTCTGTCTTCAGGTCGGTTCCCAAAGGCTCAGAATCGACGTGACAAACCAGTAGGTTTCACGCATACCTGTTCTCCTAATCTATGTTAATGAAACGAAATATTTGCCTGGAAATCTGCCTTTCTTCAAGATTCATGTCAATCATTCTGTGGCCCAGGATGACTCACCTGCTGCCAATGCTATCTCAGTGCATGTTGTGGGTGAGGGGCCTGGTGCCATTCTCTGAGACATTGCCTTTCTTTCATTAGCAGACTGCTGGTGGCTGTGTAACATCTGCCTAAAGACTAGCATGGGGTGCTCTTACTGCCCCCGTCTGATGTCTGTGTCAGCAGCTTTTTCTATCTCTTTTATACTTTAATAAAACTTTATGACACAAAAGCTCTGAGTGTTCAAGCTTCGTCAACTGACCCTGGATTGAATTCTTCTCCTCTGGAGGCCAAGAATCCTGGCGCCTTTTGTGGTTCAACAACGACCTTTCAGTCTTTTGTAATTCATATCGAATCTTCATTTCAGACTGAAGATGCATTCCATGGTATCGCCATCTTAAGTCTTTCCATCGCTATGGAATATCTGTACATGTATTCAGGATATTTTTCAGCAATCGTGTGAGCCCATTATACAGAGCGAAGTAAGCCAGAAAGATAAAGACCATTATAGTATACTAACACATATATATGGAATTTAGAAAGATGGTAACGATAAACCTATGTGCAAAACAGAAAAAGAGACTCCTATGTATAGAACAGACTTGTGGACTCTGGGAGAAGGCAAGGGTGGGATGTTTCAAGAGAACAGCATTGAAACATGTATGCTATCTAGGGTGAAACAGATCAGCAGCCCAGGTTGAGTGCATGAGACAAGTGCTCGGGCCTGGTGCACTGGGAAGACCCAGAGGGATTGGGTGGAGAGGGAGGTGGGAGGGGGGACCGGGATGGGGAATACATGTAAATTCATGGCTAATTCATTTCAATGTATGACAAAAACCACTACAATGATGTAAAGTAATTAGCCTCCAACTAATAAAAATAAATGAAAAAAAAAAAAAAAAAACGGGTCTGGGAAAACTAAAAAAAAAAAAAATTTGCAATGTGCCAGTCTTGTCATCCTCATTACATCCATGGCAAAGTATTTTATTAATGTTGACATTATCAAAAGGGAATTGTTTTTTTTAAATTCCTTTTCAGATTATTATTTGCTAGTGTATACAGATAAAACTGTGTAATCATTCATTTTTATCAGTTTGGACAGCTTGATAGTTGTCTTTACTTTCTCATACTTTAAGATTATCCTGGCTTATATATTTACTGTCTCGCCCCTAGTCTCAGTCATTTATTCAAAGAATTTCTGCCCTTTTTTTAAAAACACTGAATTATTTTTGATGATGCTGGGTCTTTGTAGCTAGATGCCTAGTTGTAGTGAGCAGAGGCTACCCTCTAGTTGTCTTGCCATGGCTTCTCATTGCAGCACTTTCTCTGGTTGCAGAACTTGGGCTCTGGAGCATGCAAGTACTTCAATAGTTGTACAGGGGCTTAGTTGTCCCTGGGCATGTGGAATCTTCTAGGACCAGGGATTGAACTCATGTTCCCTGCATTGGTAGGCAGATCCTTTACCACTGGACCACCAGGGACATTTCCTGTTCCTTTTCATTAGAGAATGATATTTAAAACATACATGTAGGAGCTAAATATGCTCAGCTGACAATATTTGGAAATATATACATGTATTCCAGCTTACATATTCAGTTGAAGGTAATTTGTGATGATGTCTCCATGGATCTTGTAACCTTTCCTTTTGTTTATCTGTAACTTCCCATTCCAGTGGTAAGATACCTGGCTTCCACCACTTGTCATGTATAGAATTCAGTGCTTGTCCCATGTGGTTACTGAAAAAACTGTCAGACTGTCTTCCAAAGGGGGCTGTGCATGCATCCCACCAGTATCTTGAGTATGTTTCTGTAGGAGAATTTACTATCAGTATACCCTCCATGGCCAGGTGTCTATTTCAGTCTTTACCAGTTATGAATGGGCTTGTGTGCTCTAGTGTTCTTGGACAATTTGAGTACAGATTCTTTGCCAGATATGCATTTTTTAGGAAAATGATTTTATTTATTTTTGGCTGTGTTGGGTCTTCATGCGTGGGCTTTTCCCTGGTTTGGGTGAGCATGGGCCATAACTAGTGGTGTGTGGGCTTCTCACTGCAGCGGATCCTCTTGTTGTGGGGCACAGGCTCACGGGCTTCAGTAGTTGCAGTATGTCAGCTTGGCGTTGTGGCTTCCAGGATCTAGCGCACAGGCTCAGCAGTTGTGGCACACAGGCTCCATAGCATGTGGGATCTCCCCATAGCAGGGATCACACCTGCATCTCCAGCACTGGCAGGCAGATTCTTTACCACGGAGCCACCAGGGAAGCCCTCAGGCACATTTTTGATTCTAGTTTTCCACACATGTACCTGGTGAGAGAGGCCAGCATCAAGAGGCCTGGCAGCTGGGAGTCCTCAGCTATAGTTCTGGCTGTGCCATCAAAAGCTCTGGGGCGTTTGGCGAGCACCTCAACTTCCCTGGGACTGTTTTCTCCCCTTAGAATGCCCTGCTGTTGGACTGTAGTCCACCAAGCTCCTCTGTCCCCAGGATTTCTGAGGCCAGAATACTGGAGAGGGTGCCATTTCCTTCTCTACAAGATAGCATTTTGAAGATGTTTTCTCCTGGATTGTGGTTTTGATGAAGGAAGGGGGATCCCTTCCAGGGCTTGAGAGTGGGTTCCTGTCTGACACTTGGAAGTGAATTGTCCGAGGAGAGGAGTGCTGTCCAAGCAACGGACTTTATTGGGAAGGGCTGCCAGGGCGGAGGGCAGGAGGAGGGTGAGGGAAATGGAGAGAACTTCTCTGCCACGTGGCTCACAGTCTCAGGTTTTATGGTCATTGGGTTAGTTTCTGGTTTGTCTCTTGCCAGTCATTCTGAATTGGGATCCTTCCTGGGGGCACACGCATCACTCAGCCGAGATGGATTCCAGCAAGGAGGATCCTGGGAAGCTGGTAGAACCTCTGGACTGGAGTCTCCCATCTCTTTTTGACCTCTCCAGAATCCTGGTTGGTGGTAGCTTGTTAGTTCCTTGTTCCTTACCTGGACCTCCTGCTGTAAGATGACTCCTGCAAGTGTTTTCTCTTCTCTGTTGCCTGGCAGGGGTGGATGGTCAGTGGTTCATTTAACAGTTTGTCTTGACAATACCTTACTGGAAGAAATGGAATGCTCTGGTTAACAAAGTAAAGTATGATTAGATCAATATAATTAGTGAAACAGCAAATGAGTGATCTGTGTTACAACACTCAGCCCTCTCATGCTCATGGTAGACACAATAGACAGGGCAGATTTGTTACCGTGCCTTGTGTCCCTGGGGGCTTCCCTGAGAGCTCAGCTGGTAAAGAATTCGCCTGCAGTGCAGAAGACTCTGGTTTGATTCCTGGGTTGGGAATATCTGCTGGAGAAGGGATAGGCTACCCACTCCAGAATTCTTGGGTTTCCCTTGTGGCTCAGCTGGTAAAGAATCCGCCTGCAATGCGGGAGGCCTGGGTTCAGTTGTCCCCGAGCCAGAGAGGGCCTGACAGTTTTCATTATCAAAGAGGGCTGGGCAGAGCTTAACCAGCAAGTAGTTAGTAAAAAATCTGAATCGATTTGCTATTTTGGTACTACACCATATACTTATTTGGTTTCCCTATCTTTCATTTCTCTTTCTACCATTTTCCTACCCTTGTTTTACCACAGTAAAAATGTTAAAGACACAGGAACAATATTCCTAATACTGCATAAGTAATTTTTAAATAAGTATAGTTAAACACAAAATTGAACACAAACTGCTTAACTAGAATCTACATTCCTAAAGTGCATATCTTTACATTATAGAAGTGTAAAAATGTTATTGAAGAATATATTAGGTCAGATCATATGACACTGATGTTTCTGTATGTCAAAAATGACTAAAAAAAATTTGACAATTTCATATAGCTCAACACATAATCACTTGTCTTTTTTCTACTTGGTTTCAGTAGCTTCTAAAGAGGTAAGATGGTGACTTGCAGGAAAGTCATTTTTAAGCATTGTTATTAATTTGGGTGGGTCACAGACATCTTTCAGGATCTGAAACTCATTCCAGAGTTTTCAAAGTAAACATAATTCAAAATCTTATATAAGATTTTAGGAAAATTCAAGAACCACAGAAACTCATCTGTGAGCTCCCTCGAATTTTGTAGAGACCCCTGAATAAGAAGAATCAGTGCCCACTTCGAGGGATCCCAGATCCTCCAACTCATGGGAACCCACACACTCTGTCAGGACTTCCCTGTAGCTCATATGGTAACGAATCTGCCTGCTATTCAGGAGATCTGGGTTCGATCCCTGGCTCAGGAAGATACTCTGGAGAAGGGGATGGCAACCCACTCCAGTAATCTTGCCTGGAGAATCCCACGGACAGAGCAGTCTAGGGGGCTACAGTCCGTGGGGTAGCAAAGAGTTGGACATGACTGAGTGACTAACACTACTGCTAAACACTTTGTCAGACTGGAGGAAGATCCCCTGGACTCACTGGGATTTGAAGGAAAAAGGTACCAGGAAGCAGGAATTCATGAAGAAAAATAAGTTACTTCAAAATGTTGCCATGATCCAGCTCTCTGTCCTTCAGACACCACCCAGTTTGGAATATCTTCCTAGAAGTCTTAGAATGGAATTACTGGGCCAAAGGGCACAGGCATTCATTGAAGGCTACATCTAAGATGAAATTCCAAAGTTCTATAAAAACCTAAGGCGATCTCCCTTCTCCTTGCTCTAATCCATTCCATATCTGAAAATCTAATGTACTTGAAATTGGGATGGGCATCTTATTGTCCAGTTCATCAGTTCTAAACTTCCTGGACTATTGATGACCATCTCCTTCTATCCTATTTAATTTCCCATTACCCCAAATATAAACTCTCAGCTTTATAAAATGGTTAAGCTTTTCAACTGTCACCTATCTCACATTCACGTCTGAGTTATTATTCATAAAGATCCACTTGTCTCTGCTTTCCAAAATCAAATCTGCATCATCCTTTATGATCCGCTCCGAATCTCACTTCACACCATTAGCACTTTAGTGTGGTCTAACCGAGAGGAGCTACCACACACCCGAGGTCAGGGGCCACGCCCAAGAGGAGCTACCCCACGCCCGAGGTCAGGGGCAGCAGCCGAGAGGAGCAACCACACCTCCAAGGAGCAGCTGCTGTGCGGGCGCAGGAACGCCGAGAGGAGCTACTCCACGTTCAAGATCAGGAGGGGGGGCCCTGAGAAGATACCCCTCATCCAAGGTAAGGAGCAGCAGCTGCGCTTTGCTGGAGCAGCCGTGAAGAGATACCCCACGTCCAAGGTAAGAGAAACCCAAGTAAGATGGTAGGTGTTGCGAGAGGGCATCAGAGGGCAGACACACTAAAACCATAATCACAGAAAACTAGCCAATCTGATCACAGGACCACAGTCTTGTCTAACTCAATGAAACTAAGCCACGCCGTGTGGGGCCACCCAAGATGGTTGGGTCATGATGGAGAGGTCTGACAGAATGTGGTCCACTGGACAAGGTAATGGAAAATCACTTCAGAATTCTTGCCTTGAGAACCCCATGAACAGTAGGAAAAGGCAAATTGATAGGATACTGAAAGAGGAACTCCCCAGGTTGGTAGGTGCCCAATATGCTAATGGAGATCAGTGGAGAAATCACTCCAGAAAGAATGAAGGCATGGAGCCAAAGCAAAAACAATACCCAGTTGTGGATGTGACTGGTGATAGAAGCAAGGTCCGATGCTGTAAAGAGCAATACTACATAGAAACCTGGAATGTTAGGTCCATGAATCAAGGCAAATTGGAAGTGGTCAAATAGGAGATGGCAAGAGTGAATGTCGACATTCTAGGAATCAGCAAACTAAAATGGACTGGAATGGGTGAATTTAGCTCAGATGACCACTATATTTACTACTGTGGGCAGGAATCCTTTAGAAGAAATGGAGTAGCCATCATGGTCAACAAAAGAGTCCGAAATGCAGTACTTGGATGCAATCTCAAAAACAACAGAATGATCTCTGTTCATTTCCAACGCAAACCATTCAATATCACGGTAATCCAAGCCTATGCCCCAACCAGTAATGCTGAAGAAGCTGAAGTTGAACGCTCCTATGAAGACTTATAAGACCTTTTAGAACTAACACCCAAAAAAGATGTCCTTCTCATTATAGAGTACTGGAATGCAAAAGTAGGAAGTCAAGAAACACCTGGAGTAACAGGCAAATTTGGCCTTGCAGTACAGAATGAAGCAGGGCAAAGGCTAATAGCGTTTTGCCAAGAGAACGCACTGGTCATAGCAAACACCCTCTTCCAACAACACAAGAGAAGACTCTACACATGGACATCACCAGATGGTCAACACCGAAATCAGATTGATTATATTTGCAGCCAAAGATGGAGAATCTCTATACAGTCAGCAAAAACAAGACCGGGAGCTGACTGTGGCTCAGATCATGAACTCCTTACTGCCAAATTCAGACTTAAATTGAAGAAAGTAGGGAAAACCACTAGACCACTCAGGTATGAACTAAATCAAATCCCTTATGACTATACAGTGGAAGTGAGAAATAGATTTAAGGGAGTAGATCTGATAGACAGAGAGCTTGATGAACTATGGACAGAGGTTCATGACATTGTACAGGAGACAGGGATCAAGACCATCCCCATGGAAAAGAAATGCAAAAAAACCAAAATGGCTGCCTGAGGAGGCCTTACAAATAGCTGTGAAAAGAAGAGAAGCGAAAAGCAAAGGAGAAAAGGAAAGCTATTCCCATTTGAATGCAGAGTTCCAAAGAATAGCCAGGAGAGATAAGAAAGGCTTCCTCAGAGATCAATGCAAAGAAATAGAGGAAAACAACAGAATGAGAAAGACTAGAGATCTCTTCAAGAAAATTAGAGATACCAAGGGAACATTTCACACAAAGATGGGTTCGATAAAGGACAGAAATGGTATGGACCTAACAGAAGAAGAAGATATTAAGAAGAGGTGGCAAGAATACACAGAAGAACTGGACAAAAAAGATCTTCACGACCCAGATAATCACAATGGTGTGATCACTCATCTAGAGCCAGACATCCTGGAATGTGAAGTCAGGTGGGCCTTAGAAAGCATCACTACGAACAAAGCTAGTGGAGGTGATGGAATTCCAGTTGAGCTATTTCAAATCCTGAAAGATGATGCTGTACAAGTGGTGCACTCAATATGCCAGCAAATTTGGAGAACTCAGAAGTGGCCACAGGACTGGAAAAGATCAGTTTTCATTCCAATCCCTAAGAAAGGCAATCCCAAAGAATGCTCAAACTACCACACAATTGCACTCATCTCACACACTAGTAAAGTAATGCTCAAAATCTCCAAGCCAGGCTTCAGCAATATGTGATCCATGAACTTCCAGATGTTCAAGGCAGAGGAACCAGAGATCAAATTGCCACCACCCACTGGATCATTGAAAAAGCAAGAGAGTTCCAGAAAAACATCCATTTCTGCCTTACTGACTATGCCAAAGCCTTTGACAATAAACTGGGGAAAATTCTGAAAGAGATGTGAATACCAGACCACCTGACCTGCCTCTTGAAAAACCTGTATGCAGGTCAGGAAGCAACAGTTAGAACTGGACATGGAACAACAGACTGGTTCCAAATAGGAAAAGGAGTACGTCAAGGCTGTATATTGTCACCCTGCTTATTTAACTTATATGCAGAGTACATCATGAGAAACGCTGGGCTGGAAGAAACACAAGCTGGAATTGAGATTGCCAGGAGAAATATCAATAACCTCAGATATGCAGATGACACCACCCTTATGGCAGAAAGTGAAGAGGAACTAAAAAGCCTCTTGATGAAAGTGAAAGAGGAGAGTGAAAAAGTTGGCTTAAAGCTCAACATTCAGAAAACTAAGATCATGGCATCTGGTCCCCATCACTTCATGGGAAATAGATGGGGAAACAGTAGAAGCAGTGTCAGACTTTATTTTTTGGGGCTCCAAAATCACTGAAGATGGTGATTGCAGCCATGAAGTTAAAAGACGCTTACTCCTTGGAAGGAACGTTATGACTCACCTAGATAGCACATTAAAAAGCAGAGACATTACTTGGCCAACAAAGGTCCATCTATTCAAGGCTATGGTTTTTCCAGTGGTCATGTATGGAT